TTTGGGAGTGCTGGGATTGGGATTTGGGGTTTTGGGAGTTCTTTGTGGGAATTTTGGGGTTTGGGGTTTTGGGAGTTCTGGGTGTGAGTTTACGGGGTTTGGGGGTGGTGGGATTGGGATTTGGGGAATTTGGGAGTTCTGGGTGGGAATTTTGGGGTTTGGGAAATTTAGGAATTTTTGGGGTTTTTTTGGGGGATTCTGGGTGGGAGTTTTAAGGGGTTTTGGGAGCTTTGGGTGGGGATTTTGGGGATTTGGGAATTTTGGGGTTTGGGGAATTTGGGAGTTCTGGGTGGGAGTTTAGGGGGTTTGGGGTCAGGGAATTTGGGGATTTGGGGAGTTCTTTGTGGGAATTTTGGGGTTTGGCAGGTTTGGGGTTTGGGGAATTTGGGAATTCTGAGTGGGAGTTTAGGGGGTTTGGGGGTGGTGGGATTGGGATTTGGGGTTTTGGAAGTTTTGTGTGGGAATTTTGGGGTTTGGGGAATTTGGGAATTTTGGGTGGGAATGGGAAACTTGGAGTCTCTGGGTAGAAATTTTTAGGCTCTGGAATAGGATTTTAGGTCCTGGAATGGGATTTTGGGACACTGGAATGGAATTTTGGGATATTGGAATGGAATTTTAGGTCCTTGAATGGGAATTTTGGATACTGGGATGGAATTTTAGGTCCTTGAATGGAATTTTGGGTCCTGGAATGGGATTTTGGGATACTGGAATGGGATTTTGGGGATCTTGGGATGGAATTTTAGGTCCTGGGATTGGATTCTGGCTCCTGGAATGGGATCTTGAGATACTGGAATGGGATTTTGGGGATACTGGGATGGGATTTTAGGACTCTGGAATGGGATTTTGGGGATACTGGGATGGAATTCTGGGACTCTGGAATGGGATTTTGGGGATCCTGGGATGGAATTGTAGGTCCTTGAATGGGATTTTGGGACTCTGGAATGGGATTTTGGGATACTGGGATGAAATTTTGGGACTCTGGAAGGGGATTTTGGGGATACTGGAATGGAATTTTAGGTCCTGGGATGGAATTTTAGGTCCTTGAATGGGATTTTGGGGATACTGGAATGGAATTTTGGGACTCTGGGAGGGGATTTTGGGGATACTGGGATGGAATTTTAGGTCCTGGGATTGGATTCTGGCTTTTGGAATGGGATTTTGGGATACTGGGATGAAATTTGGGACTCTGGAAGGGAATTTTGGGACACTGGGATGGAATTTTAGGTCCTTGAATGGGATTTTGGGACACTGGGATGGAATTTTAGGTCCTGGGATTGGATTCTGGCTTTTGGAATTGGATTTTGGGGACACCAGGATAGAATTTCTGCACTTGGGATACAACTTTACGACCGTGAAACAAAATTTTAAGACTTCCAACGAACCCCCCAAAAACCCTCCTCACGTTTTTTTTTCCCCTCCCCTTCTCTTTTCCCAAAAAAAAAAAAAAAAATTCCCAGAAAAAAGGCGTGAAGCGGAAAGCCGACACCACCACTCCCACCACCACGGCCATCATCGCCACGAGCGGCGGCGGCGGCGGCGAATCGTCGCCCAACGTCGCCGACGGCGCCAAAGCCGCCAAAATCCCGGCGCGGCGCGAGAGCGGCCGACCCATCAAACCTCCCAGGAAAGATTTACCGGATTCCCAACAGCACCAAACGTCCAAGAAAGGGAAACTGACGGAGCAGCTGAAATATTGCAACGGCATCCTGAAGGAGCTGCTGTCGAAAAAACACGCGGCCTACGCGTGGCCATTCTACAAACCCGTGGACGCGTCGGCGCTGGGGCTCCACGATTACCACGAGATCATCAAGCATCCCATGGATCTCAGCACCATCAAGGTTGGTGGGGAT